CAATTTTCGTCTCCAGTGGGAATTGAACTTGTACTCAACCGCTTGGGGATGCGACAACTTCACCACTTCACTAAGTCACCACACCCTGACAAACATATTATTTCAAAATAAAAATTCTAAATTATGTATATTTTAAAATTTTTATTAAAATTAATTAAGATTAATTTTAATTTTAATATTAAATAAATTTTTAATTTTTAAAATATTTCTAATTTTAATATAAATAAAAATTTTTAATTTTATTATTAAATAAATTTTTAATTTTTTAATTAATATTAAAGATTTATTTTTGACCAGATTAGTATTAAGAAAGTTACTAATCTGAGTTATATTAATAAAAAACAAGTAAAAAATATAGATATTTTTGCCAGTAATATTTATTTAGCCAAAGTAGTCAAGCAAATTAGTAGTAAATATCATCAAATATTAGAAGTAAATTGAAAAGAGTAAAGAAAAAGTATAATTATTATTTGTTAGATTGTTACTAATTTTGAAATATTAATTATTAATATTTTATACTATGCAAATTTAGTGTTTATTTCTTTAACTAGTAAAAAAAGATTTAGATAAAATAGCAAACTTATTAATCACCTATAAAGAAATTAAAAAAAGCAAAATTTTTTCTAACAGATTATTTGAAATAATTATAATAGTTAGAATAGACAAACTAATAAATATATAGAAAAGAAATTAAGCAATTATCAAAAATAAAAATGCAATATTGCACAAAATTTTTGAGAGACTAGCAGTATAATTTTTATAATTCTAATAGCTTATAATGCAGACTTGAATTATATAATCAAAAATTTTCATTGAATTATTTTAGATTAGCACCAATATATAAGAAAATATTAAATATTAATTAAAATAATATATAATCTACTGTCTTTGCTATTAGCAGTAATATATTTATATATAGAGATATCTATATCAAAATATTAATTTAAGTTTTTTTTACTCTAATTAATAATAAATGCCAATCTCTTTAAAAAAGTTTATCATATTAAAAAATAATATTATAAAAAAAATTATATACAGTCAAGCCTCTTTATAGTCACCTTTTTTATAGTCACAAAATTAGTATAATTACCTCTATATTAGTCACACCTCTTTACAATCACAGTTTTTTGTATCCCAAAGGTGTGACTATAGAGGTTTAACTGTATAAATATAAAATTTTAAAATCAAATCTATCAATTTTTATTAAACAAATTAATTAATTTTTTATTAAATAAACTCTCAAAAATGCCAAAAAAAAATGTAGCTCCCAGCCATCTAAAAACTTATTTCAATTTAAAATCTTAACATCCAAACAAATTTAAGATACAATTAATAAATATATTAATTGGTTAAAAAGTTTTATTAAATAATAATTAAATGCTAAAAACATTGATTTAAACTATGATAAAAATCATATAATAATATTAGATTTATTAAAAATGTATATTAACATACTGGTTGTAAAGCTTAAGCAATGTAAAACTTACTGTTTCATCTTACAAAAGAAAGTGAATTACCTTCAAGATGAATTCAAAAAAATATAATATTTAAAGATGAAAATAAAGTATTAAAAAATTAAAATAAAATATTAAAAGACTTTGTATTAATATTATATAAGGATAATATTATATTTTCAGTAATATAATTAATAATACAAAAAAAATTTAAATCATGAGAGTAATTTAATAATTATTTTTTATTAATTTTAGATTATCTATTTAACTTTGTATAATCAAATGAAAATATCAAAAAAATTAAAATGAGAGTTAATATTGATTCTTAATTTTTTTATCTTTTACCTTAGTTTCTTTTGAAGATAATTTTTTTATTTTAAATAAAATTTTTATCTTTTTTTTAATAAATTTTTTTATCTTTTTTTTAGATAAAAATTTATTTTTTTTTAGATTTTTTTTAATGTTTTTTTAAATATGCTTTTTTTAATTTTTTTAAATATGTTTTTTTATTTCTTTTAAATATATTTTTATTATTTTAATAAAAATTCATTTTATTTTTAATAAAGTTAATTTATTTAAATAAAAAGCTTTTTGTTAACATCTCTTCAAAATTTTACTATTATGTAGTAGTAGAAAAATTTGGTTATATTAAAATTAATATCTATATTATGACTAAATATTAGTGGCTCTACTAGCAATATTCCTTAAAAAAATTCTGATAGTGTACAAAAATAATTTTTTATATGAAATTTTAAAAAATAAGTGATTTTTAACCAAATAAATATTTTAGATCTTTGTAATTATATCACATATATACAGTCAAACCTCTATAAATACAATATGTACAGACCAGTCTAAAGCATGCATTTGAAAGGTTTGCATTTAAAAAGAGTCAATCAAATTGCAGTTTTTAATATTTGATCTGCAGGTTTGTATAACAAACTTAAATACTAATTTCTGATTGGCTACGTGCATTTAGGGAGGTTAGTATAATATAAAAAATCTTTTGAGTAAATATGCATTTGCAGAATATAAAATGTGCATTTAGTACTAATGATTTCATATAGTCAAGACAAAAATATATATTTAGAAAAGTATTGCATTTATAGAAGTTGTATTTAGAAATGTCCAACTGTATAAGTTATTAGCTAATTTAATATTAACTGTTATATAACAATAAAATTTTGGAGATAATGCTAGTGTTATAGAGAAATTTAACAATTTCTTGTTTGATATAAAAAATTAAGATCATATAGTTTACAAGTTAATTGTATTAGTTTTTGTAAATATATATATTCATAGTACATATATATATATAGCCATTATAATATGTAAAATATATTGCAAAGCAGTGATCATTATCATTATAGGTTAGTGCTTGTCTTATTTAGATATTAGTTTTTGTAATATATTCATTTTTTTTTATGAATTAAAAAAAATCAGTGCGAATCTTTGATAAGCTTAGAAATATAAAAATATTATATTGTACATGAATTTTTGTATTTATTAGATATAGAAAATAATTTTTATACATTTTTGCATTTAAAAATTATCAGACAAAAAAATGAAAATTCATAGCTTTTTATATTTTTATAATAATTTTTTTTTCATATTTTGATTATAATTTTATTTTGTTTTAAATATTATAGTTAAATTTTGTTTCTAATATGACAAATTTTATTAAAACATCTTTAAGTTACCAAAATAATATTATAGATTTTCAAATAAAAAATTTACATATAACTAAAAACTAGTCAGGAAAAAAGAATATTTAAAATAAAACCAAGCCTAAAAATAACATTCCTAATGAAGGTGGCAATATTAACGTTATGGCTATTTTTGGTGTAGATTTATCTATAAAAGTATAGTATCCGGATTCACCCATCGCCATGTTATATATATTATAAAAAAGTTTTCGCAAAAGTAAATTGAAAAAATTATAGATTTATTCAATAAAGACCGAGGCCTTAAAAAAAAATAAAAAAAAAATTATAGATTATAAAACTAGCGAATCATCACAATTTAATTAAAATAAGTTGGCATCTAATAAAAAATTCTGAAAGGATTTTAGCAAGGATTATTTGGAGTTATTATAAATTAAATCATAGTTTGGTCTAAACGTAAATGTGATTACATATGATATAATTCAGGTGAGATATAGTCCAGTGGGGATATAACTCAGGTATGATTGCATATTATAATTTTTTAGAAAAAGTAAATTATCTAATAAATGAACGCCAAAACTTATTAGATAAGGGTGTTGGTGGCTCCTCTTCTTATGGTCAGTAGTTATAATTATTTTCTGAAAATTCTATTTGAATAGCTTGAATAGCATAATAAGGTGGAGGTGATCCAAGTTGTGATGTCGTCGTTGATTCTAATTCTTTTTCCAGATCAATTATTTCCTTTTGCACAGATAGTATTTGATCAAGTATTTTATGACCTTCTGTATCTGATCCTAACCCGTTTCTTAAATCGGTTAAGTTTTTGCTATAATAACCCTTAACATCTCTTCCTTCTACGATCATTCTATGGCTTTTAAAAAAATATCTAGTTAAGACATTTGCTAAAATATCTTTAAGCTTCAGAGACAATTCAATTTGCAATTTTCTTAGTTTGTTTCTTTTTGTATATAATTCTTTTTCAATTCCTTTGTTGGTATTTCTTTCTTGATTACCGTTGGTATTTCTTTCTTGATTACCGTAGGCATTTCTTTCTTGATTACCGTAGGCATTTCTTTCTTGTTTACCGTAGGCACTTCTTTCTTGTTTACCGTTGGCATTTCTTTCTTGCTTACCGTAGGCATTTCTTTCTTGCTTACCGTAGGCATTTCTTTCTTGTTTACTGTTGGCATTTCTTTCTTGATTACCGTTGGCATTTCTTTCTTGTTTAACATTTTGAGGACTGTTTTGTTTTGGTTCTGGTCTTAACCTTTTCACTAATTTGCCAGTCCTTTTATTATATATAAAATCATTCTTCAATTGTTTTATATCAAGGCTTGGGCAATTATTTATATTAATTTCGTTTAAACGAGAATTATTGGAACAGTTGATTATTTTGAGATTAGAGCAACCATTTATATTTAATTTAGTAAGTTCATTTTCATGACAGTCTAATTCTTCTAAATTTCTACACGCGCTAACATCCAAACTAATCAATTGATGAGAGTAGATTTTAAAAATTCTCAAATTAGTAAATCCTTCTAATTTTAAGTCTCCAATTAGGTTTTTGGATTCGCTATTACTAAATATGTTTTCGTTACCCCCAGTTTTTCCTTTGCTAATATCTAATTTGGTTATTTCTTCACGTCTTTTGCCCTTGTTTTCTGGATCAGCGTTTCTATTACATGTTCCATTTATTGGGTATTTTTGATTAATATATTCTTGTGCGTTTTTATTTAACATACTACTTGAATTATAATTTTTAGTAACTAATCACTACTCCGGCAATTTAAGTCCTTTTATAACAAATTATGTAGCAATTGATTTTTATGTTATTATTTGTTGTTTTAATTTGTTATTTCACTATTTTTTGACAATAGGCAATTTATTTTCTAACAGTTTCTCTCGAGAATGGCTAATAGCAAAGCAGACAACAGCTAGCTTTCCTATCTTTTCCGCTAATTCAACGGTTGTTTTGGGGTGAGATTGGAATTAGATTCTAAGTAATTTGAGAGCGTCATTGGGATTGTTTGGTTAGAATGAAGTTTGATGAAGTAAATCACAGTAAATTTATAATTAATAAAGTTACTCCATGTCAC